CCTTCTATATCGGGAGGGGTCGTCTACAGCATAATCTGTGGCTTCCCTAACTAACGACTCCCTCTAGAGACGGGAGGCCGGCTTTATATAGCGACAACGATCACTGCAGATCTCTCTCGTCATTTCGGCACTCATCTAGACTTGTCGTTGCGGTTCGTCGACCACATTATTTTCGCGATGAGTCATAATATGTTTGGTCGCTGAGATATCGGTCAGGGCTGGCTTCAGATTCATTATATAATCCCTTCTTAAAGACGTTTCGCCCCGAAATGTCATCTTTGGCGTGTGTTGATACCTGCAGGACTCCCCATATCTGCACCGTGAAGTTCGATGGAAGTAACACTCCACAGTATTTATGCTCGGTCGTGGAAGATGGTTACCGCACACCAAAATCTGAATGCCGCTGGATCTGAAGATCGTTTCCAACATGCTTCTCACAATTCTCCAGTCCAGTCTGTCAAGCCCAGAGGCTAATTTCGGGGTTGCATCGTGTCCGTCAGTCTAGTAAGACTCCTCCAGACATCTTCATAGGACGGTTTGTCTCGAGAATGCTTTTTGGTCACCAAGTAAAAGATGTTTCTCTGACCCTTCTTCAAATGTAGTACTCGTCCGACTTTTGGATCCTGTTCTCGTAATGTTTGAAGCTGACCGAATTTCTTGTTGAATACCACAGCGATACCCTTGGACATTTGGAGATCCTCTGCCACGCAGTGAGCTAGTGCGTAATCAACTGAAACCTGGAAAAGGTCTCGTGGCTCTTCTCGAGAAGAGCCAAGAGACCCCGTTTTCCAAGGTAAGGGAGTTCCATTGTGCCCAGTAGGACTTAACCGCTGGCGAATAACCTGCTACCTCCTGCCACGATGGTCTTCGGTTACTTTTCTTCCATCCGATGACTAAACCAAGATCTGGGTCTTCCTCTTGGTCTTCTTTGATCTTATTATCCTCCCAGTTGTCGTCTACAGCTCTAGTTCTAAAAATGACTGCTTCTTTCTCTTCTACTGGTCGGCAATGTAAGCAGTCATCGGGGCATGGTCCCCGTGACAGGGCATCTGCGTTTATTACGGGGGCTTGCTGGATACAGGCTGACGATTGCCCCTTCTCATGGAACCTCTCTAGTTTTCTTGATTTGGTGTTGGTTCTTTGAATGCTTGGACATTTGCTACGTACATGCCCAGTTTTCCCACGGTTCCAGCATCTTATTTGTTTTCTTTCAGACAAAACTCCTTTTATCGCCTTTCTAATAGTGACCTGAATATCAGCAGAACCCTGTACATCTTCCTCCATAGTTTGAACTTTGCTCGGGTCCTTGCAGGATTGTTTTACAGCCTCAAACTCCAGAGCTCTTGCCAGTGCATACACGAGATGTTTGGGATGAGCTAGCGTCAAGGCCTGTCTCGTTTCTTGGTCGCGAAGTCCATCCAAGAATGCCTGAACTACTAACCGCTCCATTACATTTTCCGGTGTAGCAGGATATGCCAGACGAACCAATCGAGCAATGTCGGCTTCAAACTCCTGTAGGGATTCTCCTGACTTCTGGCAGCGGTTCTTCAGCTGTGAATGGTAAACGTGCTCTAGGTGGGCCTGTCCATACCGCAGCTCAAGATGCTTTATGAGTTGGTCATAGTCTTCCTGTTCTTGGGCCGTGAGGGTTTCCAGAATATTCGTTACTTCTCCACTCAACGCCAATGTTGATGCTACCGCCTTTTTCCTGCATTCCATCCATTCGCTCTGGCCGCAGCTTCAAATTGTCGGCGATAATTTGCCCAAGGAGTTTTTCCGTCGAACTGGGGCGGCTTCGTGGAGAGCTTTCCTGGTTCAGAACTGAGTTTGACATCTTTCAGTTCCGGAATTGAGTTTTCAGTAACCGTTTCTGTGGGGTGGACAGAATTAACGATTTGGTTTTGCAACTTGCTAATTGTTTCCTTCATCTCGCTGATTTCTGCCTGAACTCCGCCTTTGATTTCCTCTACTTCTGTGTTCATTTCCTTCCAGATTTTATCTTTCTCTGTCTCGATGGTTCCTATCCTTTTTTCGAGTAGGCTTGCCACACTACAAAGCTCTTTCTTCAAGCCTTCTGCATTCTCAAGAAGTTCTTTCTTCAAGCTATTCGAATTCTCTAGAAATTCATCTTCCAAACTTTTCGAATTTTCCAGAAGCTTGTCTTCCAAACTCTTCGAGGTTTTCAGAAGGTTTTCCTCCAGGCACTTCGAATTTTGTTGAAGTTCATCTTTTAAACTCATCGAATTTTCCAGGCACTTCGAATTTTCCAGAAGCTTCTCCTCCAGACTTACCGAATTTTGTTGAAGTCAATCGAGTTTGCTCATAATTGAACTCAAATCACCCCCAGAAACTTCGAATAAATATGTTTCGCGATCTTCTCCTGATTCAATCAAGTTATCCCATAGTCTCTTCTGGAGTACTGATTTTTTCCCGGAAGAATCTAGTTCTCTCTCCTCCAACTCTTGCTTCAATTCGGCGACTTTCAAGTCCACTAGGCGCACTTTTTTTGAACACATTTTATCTCTTACTGTCTATTTTACTCAAAACTGAATATGTCCACTTATTTAATGGAGTCCGAAACACTTATTTATTTTCACAAATCTATTTTTCGCGAGAAAGGTCAATCAGTTTATGTTTCCGTAGTCCGGTAATGTCCACCAAGCGCTCACAAATTTATTTTAAAAATCCACTTCTGATCACCAATTGTAACGAATTAAAGAATTAACTGTCTTAAGCAAATTTATTTTTACAATATGTCACTATCACAACTAATTTATGTACAACACTTAGCAACTAACGCTTGATTTATCTTTACAGTTAAACGCACGATTCACTTTCTAGGTACAGACTGACTCCCTTTAGGGACGGGAGGCCGGCTTTATATAGCGGCAACGATCACTGCAGATCTCTCTCGTCATTTCGGCTCTCATCTAGAATTGTCGTTGCGGTTCGTCGACTGCATTCTTTTCGCGATGAGTGATAATATGTTTGGTCGCTGAGATATCGGTCAGGGCCGGCTTCAGATTCATTACAATATGTAACATGGTAAAATAAAACTCTCCTCTACTCAAAATTTACTTCTTTGCATGATCTACACATCTTTGTAAAGAGATAATTTTTGAAATTAATGTGGAGAAATAGAAAGCCAAAACTTTTCTTTCCCAAAAATAGTGTCTCCTAAAAATATACCACTTTCAATTTAGTATTATATACTTACTGATTGATCAGATATTCAATGTATTCCTTGTATGAATCGCTGAAGGGAGTAATGGCATTATTTTGAAGAAAGTGAGCAAACCTCGCACATATCGTGTTGATAAGATGATGTTCGTTTTCTAGCTCTTCTTTTTTAATTTCAATATTTTCAATTAACTTCTCAACACGTAACAATAGTTCCTCTTTATTTTTTATATTTTGCTCTACATTGGCATCTTTTTCCTGAACTTCTTTGGTTTCTGTCATATAATACACGTGCATATGTACTTGAAAACTGCAGCTGCATTGTTTACAATTTCCTGACGAATTTATTGCAGCACAATGCATTAGTTCTTTACTACCTATTAGTTCTTTTGGAACGGTTTTCAGATAACAAGGATCATGACATCTTTGTTTATAATGCCATTTGTTTCTTTCACCAACCTGAAAAAAATGTGATGTAAGTGTATGTTTCACTAGTTCGGACTTCCATTGTCTACTATATAAAATGATTTGAAATTCCTGAAACAACTTAAAAAGAATAATTAAAAATGAATAGCTAAAAATAACAATTATATTAAGCAAAATAAACCTGAAATGAAATAATAGTGAAATAAACTACACGTAAAAATAGAACAATTGAATAAATAAAAACAAAATAAAAATAAAGGAATGAAAAAATAAAAATAAAAAGTGTAGAGATTCCAAGTCACGTTAGTTCACGACGTTTCAATTGTTAGTATNCACCTTCAAACATAAACTTCTCTACGCTCAACTGTTTTTGAGAAAAATTTGAGAATACAATTTCACTGTATGCTTATTATTTATTATCTCAGGCAATGAAAACCGCGGGCTTACATGTACAATTTTTTAAATTTTGATTTAAGAAGAAAGTTAAAACAGTAGGTATATTTCTGTCAAAATATCCCACAACTTTGAATCTAAAATTCCTTTATTATTTCATTCATAATGTTTTGAAAAACATACCTTATATATTTCAGAGCACTGACGACTTGTACAAACAGTGACAGGTTGGGAAATTTCAATTACTTCCAGAGTAATAACAGGCATGTACAGTTTTTTCTTCAGGGCTTTCACATTTTGATTCTCCAATTGTAGGTTTTCCTGATGCCGTTGTAATATTCTCATGTTGTGGTTCACGAGTTGAGCTATTTCTGCAAGAGGTTGCGATAGCTGAATGATCATTCTTCTTGCCTCATTAATAGCAGTGGTATTTTGTACTCGATGAGGTTTCAAAGGGGGATTTTCGTCGTCTCCCACGATATAAATTATCATCCTGTAAATAAGTAATATTTTACATTTAAACTTTTTATTTAGCTACTTTGACAGGACACTGACAGGACGTGTACAGGGAATGGAGACGACATGGACAGGACGAAGACAGAACATGGGCAGGACATGATAGGACATAAGAGAAAATGGCACGGCATGACATGGATAGGACATTAAATGGACAAGACAGGGGCAGGACGTAGAAGAGACATGATCAGGACACGGGAAGACATAGACAGGACATAAGAGAATATGATAGGACATGGACAGAACATGAGAAGACATAACATGGATATTGACATGCTGTGGACAAGATATGATCAGATATATGCCGGTCATGGACAGGTCGTTAACAGGAGAGGACATGGACAGAACATGGACAAAACTTCAACAGGACATGGATAAGGACATGGACAGAACGCAGACCGGACGTAGAAAGGACATGAACAGGGAATGGAGACTACATAGACACGACGTGGACGGGACGTAGACAGGACATGAAAGGGGATGCCATGGATAGGACAGGGGATGCCATGGATAGGACAGGGGATGTCATGGATAGGACAGGGGATGTCATGGATAGGACAGGACATGCCATGGATATGACAGGGCGTGACATGTATAAGACATGACATGACATGGATAGGACAGGACATGGACAGGACATGTAAAGTGCATTGACAGGACTTAGACGATACATGATAAGGATACGAGAGGACATGGACAGTACATCACAGAATATAAGAGGATATGACATGAATAGGACATGGACAGGTCATGGAGACAGTGCATTGACAGCAGATGGATAGGACGTAGATAAGACATGATAACGACACGAGAGGATATGGACAAGGCATGACAGGACATAAGAGAATATGACATGGTTACGACATGGACATGACATAGATTGGACATTTACAGAACATGATTTTTTATATTATAAGCCACGATTTATTGAAAACACTAGATTTTTCATTTCTTGCTTTGTTTGAATTACCAAACCATACTATTAATTATGGATGTGTCACTCTAAAATCACGACTCATGCGGCTCGGAAATTTGTTAGCTTTGCTTGATTGAAAAATTGTCGATTGTCAAAATTGTTCACAACTAGTATTTTTTTAATTTATGTTGAACTAGCAGTCCGTCCCGGCTCCGCACGGGTTCAATGCTGATATCAAATATACTAAAGAATGTTTTTGCAATATTGTTATTTTCCTCGCTAGAGAGGCGAAGAACAGCCTTCGACGCGCTATGTCCTATGTCCCTGCATTTCAAATCTGTAATATCTTCGATAATATTCATTTAAATTACACGCTGTAAAAGGCCATATTGATGTATATTAAATGCCCAATGTATTTGAGGTACTTAATTGGATAAAAATTAATGCTGTATTGCTTAAAATCGCTTCGTAAATAAGCCATAATTTCTCCTAAAAAGTGAAGGATAAAACATGTTTATTGTGTGATATTTCTTAGAGATAGACATATACCATCGCGGACTTTTTTGGGCACGTTTTTAAGTTGTACAATACTGTGGTACATTTTTTTATCTATCGCGTAGGGTTCAGCCAGCTTTGGCAATGTAAGCACAAAAAAATGTGTTTTTTACGACATCAAATTAGAAACTTCCAAAATTATCACTGTTTCTCTATTATATTATGCATGTTATATACATATAAACCTTCCTCCGCATCAAAATCCGTTGCCTAATTTTAAAGATCTAAACATCCATAGGAACAGACAACGGGAAGCGACGATTTTATACTATTATGTAGTGATTGTTAGGTTAGGTTAGAATATTCATACCTAATATGTGTAACTATCCTGAAAAAACAGGTGTTTCTGTCTAAATAAATCCATTAGATAAATCAATTAATAAAATAAATGCATAGGTAGATAGATAAATGAATAATATATAAAAAAACTTTACCTCTTCAATTCATTCGAAGATATTTCCCAACTCTCAATGGTACGCTCGCGCAACTTTCCAGAAAATTCAACATCTTTTTTAACAGCAGCTAAGTATCGGAATGGTTCATTGTCAAAACAGAAAACATTTCGGTCAATGGGAATGGTTACATATGGTTTCTTTTTCTTCAGATAGTCGACGAATTTTTGTAAAACGGAAATAGTGTCACCGGCCCCATAATCAGAACCTCTGGTATTTGTGAAAACGAAAATGATGTTCCTGCGAGCTGATTTGTCAAGTCTGGAGAATATTTGGGAAATACAGTATTTAAAAAATACCGTGAGTCTTGGATTATTTGGCTTCAACAGGAAACATATAGCATGAAGTTCTTTAAGATTCCCAATGTAATCTAGAATATTTTCGGAATTCGCGTCATCTTGAAGAATTCCTCTTGTATCACCCATTCCGGGGGTGTCTATCAGTCGTACTTTCACATGGCCTCCAAACACAGGAAAAGCATATGTTTTCACATCCTGGGTTGCCGAAACTCCTGTTTCGAGGAATTCATTCTTGTCCTCTATACCAACCTTGATACGGTGTTTTTTTGACCTCTTGTCAGTGATGTTGAAGGTTGAAGGAATAAGAACAGTCAAGTCTTCTTTTTCGGCAGATTCAAAACTATCATGTGTCAAATAATTAGCTACCGAATTAATAAAGGTTGATTTTCCAACTCCAGTTTCACCAAGAAGCAGAATATTAATTTCTTTTGTGTCATTGTCTTCTTCATGTGTCATTTTTTTCTCTCCTAACGAAGACATTTAGCTATCTAATTTCGGAATATTGGCGTAGCTGGAAAAAATTTCAGAAATTAGTGATATTGTGAATAAGCGAAGGATACGGAAAAAATGCAGAAAGAGAAAGAAAAGAAACAAAAAAAAGAACAAAAGGACAATGAAGTGCAATATTTTGACAAATAAAGAAATTACAGGTGGATCAGAGACTTTGGAGGAAAAAAAGGTGAAGAAAATCAACAAGTAAACAAAAGACCATCTCGATTATACCCTCATGGATATGCATAATAGGTATCTAGGTCCAAAGTGGGTATATTCGTAGATATATTCGACTTTCTCTATGGCAACCTGCTAAGGTTTATTGTGGCTCACACCTGGTCAAACTCAGACAAATGAGTCCAGTGCTTCCAAAGCCACTTGGTAGTCAGAGACTGGCGTGTGTGAGATTGTTTTCTATCAGTTACACACACACAAATCAATGGCGTAGATTTTCGCTTGAAATACGACCACATAGGTCCCTAGGCAGGTTGATATCGTTATCCTGGGTCTGCGACTGTTCACACATTAGAACATTAAGATATTTTGTTCATCTGTGGATCAACAACTTCTACTCTTAGCACTTTCTCCTCCCTGAAGACCTAATCTTTTCTATTCGCGATTAGGACTGTATAAGGCAAATCGTAGATGACAGTTGTCATTTCCAGAATGTCGTAACTTTTAGTGTCAGCTACACACCCTCGCAAGAGTCTGTGAAACATACCAGGATATCATCCAGATATCTATACCAATACACAAAACAATAACCAATGGGTTACTGTGAATTTTTCTCTCCAAATCGTCCATGAAAATCTCTGCCAGAATAGGACTAAGTGGGTTTTTCATTATGAGACCTTTGCAGGTTGAGTAAAAAGCTTTATTGAAATGGAAATAATTCTGTGACAAACACACCGTAAGCAAGTCTAATATTTTCTTTTTCACTACCGGATTGATAGACTTTTCGTCCAATATTAGACTTGCTTACGGTGTGTTTGTTACAGAATTATTTCTAATCAACAACGACAATCAACGACGAATTCACAATCCACAACGCATCACTCAGACTATAACGCAGCAATAAAGGATAAAATATTTCTGTTTTTCTGTACAGCAAAGGTGTAAATATTGATTTCAAAACTAACAACAACTCAGGCATGCACATTAAGAATAACAAAGATAAAAGTTCAGTTTCAGAAAAATCGGGAGTCTATGAATTATAATGTGGGTCATGTCCAATATGTTTTATATATGCCAAACTGGAAGAACGTTTAAAGCACGCATAAAGGAGCAGAAATATAGTTTCCAAAATGGAAAAATAAATTCTACATATGCCACCCACGTGATCACAGACGGACATGAGTTCAACCATGAATACAAGCCCCAAAGCGCTGCTGAAACATCTCAAAAAATTACGCAGGTGTTTGGCAATGATAGTGATAATGAACGCACTATTTGATGTTGTTTCGCGAAACTTCTCTCCAGAGATTTTACCCTCGAAGGTGAGCCCCAAAGGGGTCGACCTACAGTAATTCAGAACGAGGATTTGAAGACCCTGGTAGAGACTGACCCATCACAAACGATGCGTGGGATGGCGGAAGAACTGGCCGGCAGCTCCCATGCGGTTTTTATGGTTTATGGTTGGAAAAGCTCGAAAAGTGGGTGCTCCACCGATTTGAATGACAGAAATTGTCCCGTTTCAAGGTCTGTTCTTCTTTGCTTTTGCGCAACCAGTGGTTGGACACCGATGAACCATTCAGGCATTTCTCAAAGACGAAAACCCACCACAGCAACACATCAGAGTTCTATTGAGAGGAACTCGAAGATCCTGCTCGTTTCACAAATCACCGTCCGAAAATTAAGAGGCCTATGAAGTGGCAGCGCCATATTGAAAATCGCGAAAACACTTTGTGAAGAAATGAGATGTTATATAAAAAATATGTATAGGGGAAAGTTATCGATATTGTAATGAAGAATGTCGCTAACTCATTTTTTTCCATTTATTTTTCCAAACATGTTTTTAACTTTTTATTCCTTTGACGAATTTTAAAATTTTTGAGATAGCGAAATTGTACGATTAAATATAGTCAACTTCTTTACAAAATAAAATATAAAATGATGTTTGACTAATCTATAAAACGTGTTTTCCTTATTCAATGAATTTTCACCCATCAAGTGCTGCCATCTAATAAAAACTGAACCCGTATTAGAGCATAGAAGGGTTTGGCAACATCGCTGTTAGCGAAACGCCCGTCGAGTGCAAATAATATCAGTTTGATGTTAGGGTAATTGGTCTCTACCAGTGACGGCTCGTGCATTGGAGAACAGGGGAGGTTAAAGTCATCCGAAAATTATACATATAAAACTAACCGTTAAAAAAAACAAAAACAAGGAAAAAGGGTTGTCTTTGAGTTATTTAATATAAATGAACTCTTCTCAGTCAATAAATAATACTTTTCTCTTCTAATATAACAGTTTTATTAAAATTGCTACAAATATTTTATAAGCACAAGTACTTAATTATGCTTATAAAAACAAGGTCTAAAAGTAAATTTTACTGTCAAGCAAGAACCAACGGGGAGGCGAGAGTCGTGTCTTGCCAGGGAGGGAAAGGAAGGATGGGATCGGAAGGAAGGTTGAATCTGGTTTGTTTAAGTTTAAGTGAATTTACAAGGCATCCGCAAACTACTTTTAATCGACGGTCATTCAAGTTCAATATAGTCTGCGAGGGTCCCGCATTTTGAAAGGTGAATTGAAACGTATGTAATTTTGGATAGGAAGGAAAAAAATAAAAAAAGAAACTTAAATATACATAACATTCGTTCTTAACCAAGACGAGCAAAAACTCAAAAAAACAAATTAAAAAATACATATAAAAACAAAAATATAAAATAAAATTCTTTGCTTGAGTTACAACCTCTAATAAATAAAACANATCACTTGGTGATCGAAACACGTGTCGAGGTGTAAAAATAACGATTTGCTGTTGGGAAAAAACTCCAGTAATATTCATTACTACACCAAAGGTTCCAAACAGTACATCATGAGTAGAGAGAGTAAAGCAAGAAGAGAGATGAAAATATCGTTGACAGATAATAATTTAGTCACGTGCTCCCACGGCCTCTTAAGGGAAGTGGGAGTTTTGCCTCATCCACCATACTACCTAGACATCTCGACAACCGAATATCATATTTTCAAGCACTACGATCACTTTCTCACTGGTAGAACCTTGGCCAATCAGGACCTGGCAAAAACGGCCTTCGTCACCTTCATCGAATCCCGAGCACACACGTCTTATGCTGACGGAATCATTGGACTTGTGTTAGGTAGGCAAAAGTGTACTGATTCAAATGACGCTTATTTTGATTGAATTGAACAAGTATTCACTGAGATATTACTCAGTTTAAAGTAGACGGACAAAACTTTTGAAACAGTCAAATGGTTATTTCTATTCTCAGGACAGACCCACCTCTAACATTTGGAATTGAAACCACACCCAGATCCTCTCTGTCACACGTCACTAGTCGAAAAAGTTGTTGTAAACCAAAACTTTTTGATCTCTGTGTATAGGCATAGCCAGAACTTCCCAGAACAGATAAACAAGTTTCAGTTTTAAAAAATTTAAAAGAGAATGTTTCGAACTTAATAAAAAAATACTTATTTTATTCAATTTGTTTCGAATCAAGACCTTTGTGACGTTACCAAACAAAACACGCCATTAAAGAGAAAATAAATGGGTGGAGATAACAGAATAAATATTTTTCTCAAGTGAATCACCTATAAATGGACGTAGTGATAAAAATTCATTTCAAGGTCTTTCTCAATTCGCCCTCATACCGACAGACATCAGAAAAATCTTTCAACAATATTCAGTCATAGATCTAAACGAAAAATCAGTTAGGAATTCTCATTATTTTATTATTGCTAATCTCGTCGGTTAATAGAGATTATTAGATGTCCTCCATCAATTCATACATAGGTAAATTTTTAACTCACCAATAAAACCGTGGTCTCCTCGATGAATTATTATTTGCAGGATGAATGATGGCCGAAACAACTGAATTACGAAACAAAACTTCCGTTATCTAACGATGAAGGCGAGTTATACAAGAGAGTTTTGTTTTCGGGGAAGTACGAAACCAATATCACTTCTAGGCGTGTGGCGTCGTGATTGGACAGATTGGAGAAACATTCTGAGTGTAAGATTACAGAGATGGAGATTTGCAGTTTTCTCTTTGGGGTTTGTGAAAATAGGTTCTTAATAGAAATTCAATTTATATAGCACCAACATGTTGAATTGTAGCTGTGGATACCCACCTTAGTTTACACCAGATTTTATAAAAGGATTCGAAAGAAGGAACGAGTTCAAAAAGTATCAAAATTTATTGCAAATCATATCTACATATCTCATAAGAAATAACTGTCCATGATAATAATTATTCAGTTTTTACCTGGTATAACAGGTAGATTTTGAAAAAAAAATTACAAGAGCATTTTATCTATGCTCGCAACATCAAGTGGTACTTAATTGGATAAAAATTAATGCTGTATTGCTTAAAATCGCTACGTAAAAAGTAAAGGATAAACAATGGTTTCTGCGGATTGTGTCTAAGAGATAGACATATACCATCGCGGACTTTTTTGTAGACCTTTTAAAGGTGTACAATACNAGAATACCTTGTTGGGAGGCCCTATTATAGTGTGGACGAATTCTACCAAGGCTCTATCGAATAATTGACATGTAGCTTTGTGTAAACAAGTTATTGAAACCAACACAAAATGGCTATCAATGTTCATTATGTAGAATTATATATTTACGTTTACTTAATATTCATAAATTCATGTACTTATATTTGTAGCTGTTCAGCTGGACTTAATATTGTTCTGTCCATATACTCTGCTCCGGTGTTTAAGCATTATTTTATAGTTTATATTTGTTAATTGTCCCTTATACATGTTTTACTTTACTAGACTTTGCCAATAAGATGTTTATATCTTGGGTAATAAAGCATATTTTGATTTGATTTGACACTAAAAAATAGTCGTCTCAATAAATTTGTGAGAAAATATAGTTTCTGTCCCCTGTAAAAAATAAACAATCCACGCTACTGCATATTCGTGATTTACCGAAACTTCGTTCGCTATTTCTCGACTAGTCGTTTCTGTAAATCCCAGACCATAAAATGATGACATAAATATTTCTCAAAAGTTGTGTGTTCGTTTATTGCAATATTTTTCATCATTGTGTCTATGTGTCAAGTATCGTTATATTTTGAGCATTGATATAAACCTCCAGAGTGGTGATTGATTGTTGTCAGCTTAGTAAGTATAAATTGATAAATAAATTAAAACATTTCACTCACGTGGAAAATACCACACCTGCACTATTTAAGATGTTTATTTAGGTAGGTAGTATCATTTTTAATTTATTGTTTTGGTTATATGGGAACATTAGAAAGTAGAATTGTGAAAATTATTTTTTCAAATTTTGATATATGAAGTGAAACTTCAAAATTGTTGCGATGTCAAAATGCCTTACTATTTGTAATCAAAAAGCTTTACTTCATCTACTGATTACGTCATCAATTATGAAAAAAGAAACCACATATTTTTCAAGTGAAATCATACGAAAAGGTCTTCTCACTTAAATTCACTGAAATCAATGGAACTGAAACTAAAAAAAAATAGATGATTAATAATATACTTTGAGGGTCTGAAAAATGATTATCAACATCGTTGACATGAATGAACATACCAGAAAATATATTTATACTCACACATACAGAGGAACTTTCAATACCGTTATTTGTTATGATCTGTTTAAACCAATTCGCAATGCGACTTTTTCGTTCATTAGATTTCATCAACAACTTAATTTTTTTAAATACTGATCTCTAGTTTTTTTCATCGTTTGTTGTAGCCATTGTAACAACAAAATACTCCCAAAAAAATGTTTTCTTGCCGACGAATTTTCATAAACATACCTCCCACAAAACTCATACGATTATTATCGGTTTAAT